AACTCATCCCCCCTTAAATACAGGTGCTGGCCAGTAAATTAGAATATCATCAAAAGGTTGAAAATATTTCAGTAATTCCATTCAAAACGTGAAACTTGTACATTATATTCATGCAATGCACACAGACCAATGTATTTCCGATGTTTATTACGTTTAATTTTGATATTTATAGGTGACAACCAATGAAAACATCAAATCTGGTATCTCAGAAAATTAGAATATTCTAAAGGCCAATGAAAAAATGTTTGTTTCTCTAATGTTGGCCAACTGAAAAGAATGAACATGAAAAGAATGTGCATGTATAGCACTCAATACTTAGTCGGGGCTCCTTTTGCCTCAATAACTGCAGTAATGCGGCGTGGCATGGACTCGATCAGTCTGTGGCACTGCTCAGGTGTTATGAGAGCCCAGGTTGCTCTGATAGTCGTCTTCAGCTCCTCTGCATTGTTGGGTCTAGCGTATTGCATCCTCCGCTTCACAATACCCCATAGATTTTCTATGGGGTTAAGGTCAGACGAGTTTGCTGGCCAATCAAGGACAGGGATACCATGGTCCTTGAACCAGGTGCTGGTGGTTTTGGCACTGTGTGCAGGTGCCAAGTCCTGTTGAAAGGTGAAGTCTGCATCCCCATAAAGTTGGTCAGCAGCAGGAAGCATGAAGTGCTCTAAAACTTCCTGGTAGACGGCTGCATTGACCCTGGACCTCAGGAAACAGAGTGGGCCAACACCGGCAGATGACATGGCACCCCACACCATCACTGACGGTGGAAACTTTACACTGGACCTCATGCAACGTGGATTCTGTGCTTCTCCGCTCTTCCTCCAGACTCTGGGTCCTTGATTTCCAAAGGAAATGCAGAACTTGCTTTCATCAGAAAACATAACTTTGGACCACTCAGCATCAGTCCAGTCCTTTTTGTCCTTGGCCCAGGCGAGACGCTTCTTGCGCTGTTTCTACTTCAAGAGTGGCTTGACACACGGAATGCGACACCTGAATCCCATGTCTTTCATGAGTCTCCTCGTGGTGGTTCTTGAAGCACTGACTCCAGCTGCAGTCCACTCTTTGTGGATCTCCCCCACATTTTTGAATGGGTTTGTCGTCACAATTCTCTGCAGGGTGCGGTTATCCCTAGAGCTTGTACACTTTTTTCTACCACATTTTTTCCGTCCCTTCGCCTGTCTGTTAATGTGCTTGGACACAGAGCTCTGCGAACAGCCAGCTTCTTTAGCAATCACCTTTTGTGTCTTGCCCTCCTTGTGCAAGGTGTCAATGATTGTCTTTTGGACAGCTGTTAAGTCAGAAGTCTTCCCCATGATTGTGGTGCCTTCAAAACAAGACTGAGGGACCTTTTAAAGGCCTTTGCAGGTGTTTTGAGTAAATCAGCTGGTTAGAGTGGCAGCAGGTGTCTTCTATATTCAGCCTTTTCAGAATATTCTAATTTTTTGAGATACCAAATTTGGAGTTTTCATTAGTTGTCACTTATGAATATCAAATTTAAATGTAATGAACATTGGAAATACATTGGTCTGTGTGCATTGCATGAATATAATGTACAAGTTTCACGTTTTGAATGGAATTACTGAAATATTTTCAACCTTTTGATGATATTCTAATTTACTGGCCAGCACCTGTACTGCTGGAGATGTAACTGGAGGCGAGTTGGTAGGTGATGGAGTACCATTTGTCATGACTCCCAGGCTGACACCCTCCTCTGCCTCTGCTGCCTCCTCAATCAAGCCCTCAGCCACTGAATTACCATCACCTGCACCCTGTCATCAGCTCATGCCACACACCTGCCCCTTTGCTATGTAACGCCCAGCCTGCTATCCAACCAGTGCCAGATTATTGAAATCTCACGCCATTAAACTCTCCAGCACTCCAAACCTCTGCCTGAATCGTTGATCCTGAGCTTGTTCCTGAGCCTCTACCCGCCCACGTGCCTGCTCCCTGCCTGGATTGTTTCTCTGCTTCTGACCCCCTGGACTCACGACCTCGGACCATTCTCTGTATTCTGCCTCCTGCCTGCCCCTTGTAGCATTCATGGACCTCTCTGGTTCTGACCCATGCTTCCTCCTGACCCTGCTTCAGCCTCGCCCACCTCTGGTAACACCTAGTTGTGTTTTCCTTTTAATAAAGATGTTAACAAGCGCCTTACTGTGTCTGGGTGTCCTCACGGGTCCTCTAGTTCTGGTCGTGACACCATTTGGAACTTTAGGCGTCAGAGTCCATTCTAGACGGTTCCCCAAAAGGTGTAGTGAGGGGGACAAACATGTGGAGAAGTGACGGAGTAGTGCGTACGCCAGCCCAAGTGACAAACAGCAGTTGGAGCATGTAGTGAGGAGATTGACAGAGTCAGAGGAGGACCGGGAGTAAGTCACAGGTTGAAAGAAGGTGTTTTCTTGGGGAAAAAAAACTCTACAACAGACCTGTGTCTATCTGGATCCAAGTAATGTAGAGAGACCTCACCAGTGTGGACCACGGTGGTCTGTAAGCCATGCTGTCGGGGGAAGGGAGATCCCTTTTAAGCTTGGTGACGTGATGTTTGACAGTGGCAAACCTGATGGAGTTGACTAATGAGACGCCCAAGTTAAAGAGCGACCCAAATGTATTAGCACATGAGAGAAACTCAGGGAGAAACCTTCTCCCTGCTGTGGGTATCAGAAATCACATTATTGTGAGAGATGTCGGCGTCAGAGTGCCACACTCTCGTGTGAGTCCAGTTGGTACCTATTTTAAAAAGTGTGGTAAAGGAACTTAGCAGTTTCCTAGCGCATGCTATGCCAGGGTCATTTGTGTGAATAGACGAGTTAGTTATTAACAGACCTGGGCTCACCCTGAGCGTGATACCTGAAGAGGAACCAGGTTCACAAAGTTGTGGAAGAGAAGGCTGAGGAGGAGGCGTAGCCACACTGGACATCCCAAAGGTGCACACAACCAGCATAAGATACTTTATTAGACCAGAAACCTGAAATTTTGGATGATGACAACTGTAGCCTGGTGCAGGAGCGGCCTTTTGAGGGCTCGACACAGGGAGGCACTCTGGAGTGATGTCATCAACACCCCCCCCCCCTCCCCCCTCCCCCCTCGATAGGTGGTGGCCCACCGCAGGGTGAAGGAAGTCAGATGCAGAGACTAGGGCGGTCACTGACTAGAGAAACACCAGACCGACTGGTCATCTGGGCGGTGCGGTTGTTGTTAACAACACCTAAGAAAGAAATGAGGTCCTGGTGGAGCTCCATGGGCAGCGGTTGAGTCAACCGGGTCCAGAGCCTCCATCCACCGAGTGGAACAATAGGCTTAAAGCGCATGAGCAGGTTAGGAAAATCCTCGATGTCAGACACAAACACTGGGTGTCTCGCAGACATGCCACCCACTGAAAGTTCAAAGAGAGCTACAGACGACAAGGTCATTGGAATTAAAGGATTCATGTCCACGGCGCAGGGTGTGAGCGTTAAGACACGACCCAGTCCAGCCGCAGCCAAGCGGACGCTCTCCCAAAGAGAACGAGATGATGGAAATGTCTGAACCAGAGTCTAAGATCCCTCAAGGGTCACTGGGATGTGAGGTTTCTACTTGGGACCTTCACGGGTGATATCACAGAGAAACTTTAGTGGAGGTTTGTCTGCTAAGGATTTCCTTACATGCTAATAGGTGCATTGGATGCGCGAGGGGCATGTTTCAGTTTTGGAGGACTCGTCGTTTCAACTGAGTCATGTGCAGGTTCAACAGGTGCAGGAGGATGTGCACTCTGGTCAGCAGAAGAGAAGAGTAGAACTCTGTTAGTCTTTGATGGATCCAAGACACGAAGGACGTATTTTAACCCTTTGTGCATGGTCTCAGGAGGCCTGCTACCGGACTCAGCTCTCGACCTTGGAGCAGCAGGGCTGTGGTCAGCATGGTCGCGGCGCAAAATGGTAAGGGTGAGGGTGGTGTTCACCTGAGTGGGACGGCCCTCCCTTTTGACACTCCATCCATGAGCAGCAGCGTGCAGAATGGTGTAAACACATTTAATAAGCCTACTTCCTCCTGTCCCTGAGCTGCAGATTGAATGAGTTCCGTGTTTCACAGCTTCAGGGGGATCACGGATCATTCACAATGATTTATTTTGGATTACCAGAGGAGGAGCAAGTTCAGGTATTTGGTAAAGCTTTGCTTCTGATTGATCAGTCAGGTCTCCGTTCTTGCAGAAGATTGAACTGGTTCAACTTGGCGCAGCAATTCTGTGCAGAAAGAAAATAAATACTGTGTCTCCGTCAGCTTAAAACAACTTTTCTACAACGCACACACACACACACACACACGTGTGTGTGTGTGTGTGTGTTTTATGCCGGTTCACTAACAACATGTGCAGCTTTGTTTACACAGAACAAGAGGTGTTTATGGATTGAGAAACACCCCAGGTGTCTTTGGGGCTCTCTTGCAGCTTTCAGCGGAGGCTTACAGCTGTGCTTTGTCATAAAGTAGTCCCAAGTCTAAAATGGTGCCCATGATTCCTAATTATTTTCACTTGCAGCCGGTCTGATTATTTAGGTCACCAAGCAGAACTGGGATCACTACTGGGTGGTTTTAGGGACTTGATGGATCCATTCACTTCCTGTGTTTATGCTAAGCTAACCTGAAAGGAGTACAGCAGGGTTTGGACTGGGCTGCTTACAAATAGTTTTTTCCCACATATGTAATTGTACAAAATGTGTCAATAGACAAAATCTAATTTTTGGGTGGAATATCCCTTTAATGACAGCAAAGTATGCCATTTCCCACTGTAGTTAAAATCCCCCCCCATTTTCATTTTTCCTGATTCTGTCACCCAGCTGCAGACAGCTGGTGGTTTTATAGAACTATCGGTGTTTAGGGACATAAAAGAGGAACAAATGATCAAACATCATTTTGCTGACACCCTAAAAATCATACTTGTTGGATTTGAATGTTCATTTGGAATAAAAGAACTTTACAGCAGCCTTAACACAAAGTGGTTTTATGGTAAATGTTTGTTTCTGTAGGAGGCTCATTGAGTTCTGAGACAGAGGAGATGTTCCCAGGACTCCTCAACAACCAAGTGGCCCACAGGTGAAGAGGGAGTAAGAAAGGAAGGCATCCCACCTGTGGAGGACCCTTCTCCTTCCCAGCCCAGAACAAGTCATCTTTCCTCCTCCTCTTCCCCTCACAAAGAAAAAGTCTCCTGTCCAAACGGAGGCAGAATGAGTCCTACCAACCCCCCAGCCTTCCCTACAGTCACACTCTCTTTTTAATGTGTTTAATTTCTCCCAGTAAGAGACATGCACTTAGTCGGTGTTAAGTAACATCATTAACCATTCATAGGAAATGCAGCTTTCTAAAGAAAGTGTTTTCTTTCTTCAAGGCCAAATGACCAGAAGAATCAGACGAATGCCTGATAGCACTAGAAACCTGCACAGAGAAATCTAGTTTCATCATTCTTTCATCAGGTTTATAATAATCATGTCAGGTGTTAGAGATCGGTCACACTGCAGCCTGAGCCCGGCAGGAATCATTGGAGCATCCTCTCATCTATTGTAGGGTTAGAACGTTTAACCTCCCATCCTCTTGGTTTTGCTACCAGATGGAGGTTTAAAGTAGGGGTTGTATGAACTAGTTGACTAGTCGACTTCACGGCTCTGTAGTGACTTTTTATGCCTGTCATCGACTAGTCGCTGTCACGTGATAATGACCGACAAGATGCAGTCCTCGGAAAAGACAGCGGGTGACAAGCTCCTGCTCGTCGGGAGGCAACTCGCTGTGCCAGAGCGTCGGTACCGTCACCCGCCGTAAAACGGACATTCAACCAAATTGTGACCTTTACCCTCTTGCAATTTAACATTCCCCTCATCCCCGTTCTAACCTTAACCAGCTGCGCATGCAAAGCTCTGATTGTTGACGCGCTCCAGACATCTGCGTCCTGAGCACGGCCACAGTAACATTATCAAATCAGGTGTCGCCACCTCAAAAACAAATTTAACACGCGATCGTTCATGTCGGCTCATTTCCTTTAATGTTTTCTGTCTTTTATTTGTGCGTGATGCTCCCCGCTGCTGTGGATCGGGGCGCATCACCTGTTTTGTCCTCCAATAACTTCACCTCACTGATGTGGCCGGCGAGCAGCGAGCACTCCGCTGTTTTTGCGGTCGGTAGATCTTTTAGAACTGCAGTTCAAAGGTAACTCATGAGGTGAATATATATGAACCCAGGTAGCAGTTTCTCTTTAGGACTGAGAGGAGATGCAGGAAGATAATAAACAGACAGGACAGAAAAATAGTCAAATAAAAACAAGTTAGTTTTTGTACCTGCTGGTTGCAACAAACAGACACCATTGAAGGTAATCAGAAGTGAGGAACAGAAAATGAAATAATTATTTTAATGTTTAGAGCAGCAGGAACTCCGAGAGGCTGCAGGCGCACCAGTGAGTTTGCGGCCGCTGCGCAGGGGGAGGGGGGAGAGGGCTGAAGCAGGAACTACCGTTGTTAAAAGAAATGTGTCTAACTTTGAAAATGTGGGCGCAATTTTAATTGTCAAAAACTCCAGCAACCCACGCCCCTTCAGGTGTATGACATCATCAACGACGAAAGTCGACACGATTTTCATTACTTGACTGTCGACTTTAAAAAAAATGAAGCCGTGCAGCCCCTAGTTTAAAGTCCCTACTTCCTGCTGTTAGTATGGACTGAATCACCTTACAGGGTTGTTTTAATCAGGCCAGGGCTGCTGCTGGTCAAATTAGTATTCACTGAAAAGGCTCCTGTTAATTCACAGAGGACCACCCCCCCAATCATCTTGTATTTTTCACTCAGAAACTTGACAGGATGTCCGGACAGACCCGTGAATCTTTCATCACTTTTTTTCAGTGACATCAAAAGCAGAAAGACCTAATGCAACAAAACCATTCAGGCTGCAGATATGTATGTATGAAAATCAGGACCACATATGAAAGTGACCTGGATCTTATTTGAAATAAACCAGATAAGTGCTGTCAGATCAGAATCAGACACGGACCACATGTGTGAACACAGTTGGATTTGATGTGCTTTTGACTGCAGTGTGAACGTAGCCTCAGCTCCACTCAGTCACCAACAGATTGTCTAGGGCAGTGGCCGTTCCAGTGGAGAGTGGCTAGACCAGGGTTGGGCAGTCCTAGTCCCCGAGGGCTGTTGTCCTACATGGTTTAGTTTTTCCCGTTTCACACCTGATTTCAATCAGAAGGCTGATTCTGCACCTAGACCTAAATTAGCATCTGTAGCAGAGACCCAGCTAGCCTCATTAGAGACATGGACTTTGGTTAACTGCAGTGGAGTGATGTCTTGCAGAAGGTCTTTCTTTAGAAACCGTCTCATTAAACTTAGACTCAATAGTACTTTACGGCATACTTTACAACAGCATAATATAACAACCCCAAAACTTTTTACAAAGTTTTTTCTTTTATCAGTTCACTCAAATCTTTGGCGAAGAAAGGAAAGGCTGGCTCGTTACTTCTTTAGAAAAGGGTCAAAGGTCCTTGAGATTAAAAGGAAGAACTGAAGTTTGGCAGCAATGAAAGGATCACCTTTGACATTTGAACTAAGCACAACAACATGGGTGTATAGTAAACAAACCTTAATAATCACTGGCCAAATTTGAAGGGCCCTTTCTGCCACCGGGCAATTTTCCACCCATCTGTGGTTGCAGAAAGCAGGCAGACCCTGTGAATGCAGTCAAATCTTCCCTCCTAGCTGGCACATTGTAGAAATGCGGGGCTCGAAGCAACTTGTCCAGCTGCCACCTCGTAAAGCCTGCCTTCACAGCATTATGGACAGTGTGATGGCCACAGCTTCATATAGTTCCTCATGCTCCTGCTGCAAAACATCTCCCAACTTGAAGTTGACATTAGGGCCATCCATGCCGAAGGTGTCTGCTGTTCAGTTTTCAACACATTTCTGTGAAAAGAAAGTATTTATGAAAACCTTAAAGAGCAAGTCACCCCCAAATCACATTTTTTTTGCTGATAAACTATATAAAGGAGCATCTAATCATGCTGCAGACACGTGTAGTCAATAATTTGGCAGTTCAGTGCATCTTGGTTAATCAAATATTCTGCCTAAAACTGTCAGTGTTGCGCCATTGTCAGGGAAAAATTCTGCACTGTATTTGAATTTAAATCTGCCACCGCTATTGGCTAAGAGGTATGCTATGATGTCATCTGGTATATTATGATGTCATAATGCCATTGTGAGCCTGTGTGTGTGTGTATTTGTTAGCGGCTCCGCCCTCTTGGTCTGCCAAGCAACAGCATTTGTTGCATTTTTCAAACATGAAGTGGGAGTGAAGTAAGTTTCTTGTAGGGGGTGACTTGCTCTTTAAGAACTCTCAATTAGCCCACAATGGTTAAAATGGTCCAGATTAACTTAATTAATTTAATTTGTCTCCATGGAGGTTAACAGGCTGTGGTGGAACGACTCATAGGGTTAAGAGGAGTGTCTTCAACTTTTTATTGTGTATATCTTACAAAATGTTCATTTTATAATTCATCATTTTTAATTGACTGCTTACTTACTTTAATGTTGTTGAGTAGATCATTGGCTTTTCTGTGTCCCTGAACTACCCAAATATCTGGCTTGGACACAGTCATCTTGCCAAAAGCGTACATGGACATCGAACTGCTTCTTTTTCGTTGTCTGGTTCAAAGACTCGTCGAACATCAAAACAAAGCGTTGGCTGTCCAGAAGCTGCTGCTTAAAGCCGGGTGCTAATCCAAACCTCAGAATGTGTGCTGTTTCATCCCTTCCACAAGTGAAAGTTCTTACAAGGGTTGAATCCGGAAACATCACTTGGGAAGTTTTATTTATTCCCTCATGAGAGTTCAGAGAGTGGTGGATCAACCATGGTGTGTCAACACCCAGTCACCGCAGCACGCTGCATTGGTGTGCCCGCTAGCGCCGCTTTGAGGGTGCCGTTACTGCCAAAGTCTTTGCTGTAGAGGTCGCCACGTCGGTTAGAGGTGTATTCACAGGTGTTGCAGGCGACAATGTTTCTCCAGCTGTCACCGAAGCTTTGGAAAAAAAACTGGCAATTGATCGCTGAGGTTGGCGGCAGCTAATGACGGCGGTTTTGTGGCTAGCTCCATTCCTGTGGGATTTGATAGCGCAGATGCCCATCGAGGCGACATGAATGTTTTTTTACAAGTCAAACCGTTTGCCTCCTTTTTGTTGTTTGTCACAGGCTTCAGCCACCGTTTAAAATCATCCACATCAAGCCAAGAAAAAACAAATTCACACTTGCCCAATTTCCTTCCATCATCTTCTTGAATTGGCGAGAAGAAAATTGGTGATCAAAGTTAAGTGGCACGGAAGCACAAGCAAACAGCTGGCAGAGACCTAAAAATTGGTTAATTTTATTACTTCATGGCGTTTATTTTGAATAGGCAGGCTTTTTTTTAAATACATGTCAACACTAACCAATTAAAGGCTTAACTTCATGGATTTAAGACTTTTTAAGGGTTTTAATTTACCTAAATTCAACTGAAGACTTTTTAAGACTTTTCAAGACCTGCAGATACTCTGTAAATGTATCCTAGAGTCTGTCAGCGACAATGCCACTGGTAGGTGCTAAATGATGAAAACTGGGCCCAGCAAGGTGACTATACCTGTGGCAGAGCGCTCCTTCTCTGCATGGGTATAGAGCTCCGGACGTCACGTGACTCAGAGAGTAGACGCCATGTTGGCAGGCAACAAAGGTAAACAAAATGAATGGGATCGGCTTGGAATTTACTCTGTCAGAGTTTACTTCACACTTCAAAACCGAAGAAATCGTTTTACACAGTCAGAAATTAAATAGATTAAACATCTCCGACCCTTACCGTGTCCCTGGGATACTTTTTTAAAATGCCAGAAGCTGTCGGAGCGGACTTCTTACGGACCTGGCCGGGGAACGCCTTGGGATTCCCCCGGAGGAGCTGGCTCAGGCGGCTGGGGAGAGGGAAGTCTGGGCCTCTCAACGCTACTGCCCCCGTAACCCAACTCCGGATAAGCGGATGAAAATGGATGGATGGATGGACAAATAACAGATTTACACGTAAGTAGTTTAAATAGAGCGCTGTGCTGTTTGAATGTATAAACTGAACGCCAAGAGAAATCATTAGTCTGATTTTTTTCCCGTGAATAAATTAAATATGTCAGGCAGGAGCGTCTCAGGATCTGTCTGAGATCTGTCTCGGTGAGACAGATAATAGCAATCCAAAGTGCTTTTTATATGTGATCTGACAATTGATCAACCATTGCTTAAAAATTAAATACAGCTTAGCCGGTTAATTGCTGTGATCATAAAACACGTAAACGGCAGCACGCAGAACTCACGAGGCAACGTTTTACATGATGTTTACTTGTTGCTATGAGTAATAAGACAGAAAAAGCCACGCCAAAATAAGTTTAGGAAGCCCACTAAGAATCGTAATAAAAGCATTTAAAATAAATACCACACACAGTTGAGGAAACGTTGGTTTAAGTACCTGATATGAAGCGGTCGCTGCGTAAGTGAAAACCTTTACTCTCGGGGTCCCACAGTTTCATTTTAGCCCGGTCACTAGCGCGTTTTATTACAATGATCCAACGTTTGCGGCGCTCCGGATCTTGGGGAATCCTGTAGATGGCTCATTCCTTATGTCGTCCGCGTCTGTTCTGCATCCTGGGGCACAACAGGAATCTACCATATTTCCCGTTTGAGTTTTATGACAATAACAAATAGTCCAGCTGCGGGCTTCTGCCTGCCAATATGGCGCCGTTTCGATTTGAACTGTTGCATGCCGGGAGAAGTGACGTCAACTCCCGGAGCTCTATAGATGGGTCTTGGTTACCAGAAAGATCTACTACGAAAACTCAGACACAAATGAGTAACACTCTTCATCTGGACTCCCAAACAGGGCCAAGCCCGTGTTGCACAAGGTTACAGTTTCAGATGTTCTTTTAAAGAAATTTTAGAGGTTACAGCTGATCACATTTCATTTGCTCGATGTTCCAGCTTGCAAGAATGTTTCCCACTAACCTGTCAGTTAACTGTTTTTAAAGTGAGATGTTATCATTTTCCTTTTGTTTACATTTGTTTTGTACTTTGATGTGTGTGGACTAAGGTTTTGTGTACTGTTTGTAATGGTGCTATCAAACGGGCCCTCTGTTTTCTGAGGGCCCAGAACATATTAAACAGCCAGTTTATGTAAACCAAATATATACTTGAAAACAACGTGCTGTGTGTTAAACTATATTAAAGAGTGATGAAGCAACCACTTACGCCTTCATCTTCTACCTCTTCCTATTATTATTATTATTATTATTATTGCTATAATTATTGTTATTATTCCTATAATTATTATTATTATATTTTTTGTATATATATGTGGTCATCAGCCACCTTAACTTGATGAAACATTGCTTGAATATCTGCCATTATAGTGAAATATCTGCATCCACAGCAAAACTTGCCATTATTATTATTATTATTATTATTATTATTGTTATTATTACTATTATTATTATTACTATTAGTATTAATGACTTAGCCATTGCCCAACCAGTTGTTTTATTGTGCACTTGCAGCAGTTTAGGGGTTTTTCCTTTCTAATGTAATAATCACACAGAAACAAAGATTGTCTGTTTTAGCTTAGCAAAGGGGAGAGAGCAATGGAGACGTTAAACAGGACACAGTCGTGACTCCACTCCAACTCCACAGTTCTCCCTGCGTGACTCGTTTTTATCTAGCACAGGAACACATGGGAGGGGTTACACATTACAATGTTGTGGCGTGGTCAATCCGCTGCAGCGTGACTTAGAAGTGAAACATAACGTTGCAGACACAAAACTGTGGGTGACTGTCAGCATGAGGATCAAACATCATGTACATGCATGGTCACACATATTATGTCGGTGCTGGGCATGGACCCGATGCTGTCCAGCCCAGACTGGACCAGGCAAATGTGGAAGCGGCTCATCTAAAGTGAGGACCAAGCAGAACATGAGGGCAGATTGGACTTTCCATCATGTACTCGTGCATAGAAGGCAGCGGACTCAGAGACAGTGAGTTGAATGAGCATCTGCCAGAGCAGCAGCATAGGGACTGAGAATTGCATCAGCAGTTGTACAGATGATGCATTTAGGCTCCGTGGTGCTCATTATGGATGGGCTGGAGGCAATAAAGGCGATGTTGTCAACACATTAATGCGCATGGTGACCAGAATTAGATGGTGATCATGCTCGGAGCCAAGAACAGCATGCTCAGGGCCGGCTCTAGGTAATCTGGTGCCCAAGGCGAGACTGCCCATGTGTGTTTAAATATTCACACAGCAACTCTTTAAAGTCAACAGCCTGAAGAATAAATGTAAGCTTGAAAGATAAGTAACTGAGAATATTACAATAACCGACAACTCAAAATGTTGTGCAAATGTCATGGGGGGTGGGGGTGGGGGGGGTGCAAAAATCAACAGCAGCATTAAACTGTGCAATCAAAAGCAAAACTCAAATATCAAAGTGTCATCATAAAGAAAGTTCTACTTTCCAGTTTGTTCTACTGCTGTGGCCAGTCAGCAGGATCCATGGGGCCAGCAGCTCCTACATGTTCACACACATCTGTTGAAGCTGATGATGGTGTCTCTTCAGGCTGTTGGACTGGAGCACTGAGTCTGCTGGTGTTGGGTTCTTCTTCTGTGAGAAGATAACACACACACACACACACACACACACACACACACACACACACACACACACACACACACACACACACACACACACACACACACACAGCAACTTAACCCTCTGATGCATGAATTAAGAACAGCGCCACTTTCACATTCAGTATTCCTCGGTCATGTGCAGTGATGCTTTTCATTATTTTTAATGCTACTGGACTTTTTATTATATTGATCTTTTTTTAATCTGTTCTATGAAAACATGAATAAAATGATCTAAAACAGGTGGAAGTGAGCGCATCCATGGGGAATAGTTGAAAAAACGTATGTCTCACTCTCAGGTGCTCTTCAGCATCAAATAAATGTAGAACATGAGGAAGAAGATCCGGTGATCTGAGGCACTCTGAGGTTTTCATTTATTAAACAAGGAAACACCGACGTGTTTCGGTACGACCTTCTTCAGGGCATAAACCTTTATACCTTGAAGATGACTCACTATGTCACAAAAACTAATGTCCATCTTTTTTTTTTACATATGTACAGCCTAATTGACAATAACATCTTAAGGAGACAATTTCAGATGTGCATGCATGATTATTTAATATTCTCAATGCTAAATCAATGCTGCACTGATTGTGCCAAAAACACGTGTCTGGTGTGGATTTAAATAAATTAATTTTGCATATCGATATATGTGATAAGCCCATGCTGTCATTCTTTTTTTAAAACACAGAAACGGTTTTGTTACCTGTTGTGTCGCTACGTTTCGCCGGTGGCTGCAGGCTTCCTCAGGCTGATGCTGATGGTGGCGCGTCACTTCCTTCTCCGTTCATCTGCGGGCAGCAGAGGACGTTGTCGCCCTCTACTGCCCGCTCTCCCCTCTCCGACGATGCAGCAAAAGTTCAGTTTGTGAACCAACCACCATCCTGAGGATCAGGGAACGGCCGCCCTGAACCTCCACCTGCTGTTCTGTCATGCCGATAGAATTGCTTTTAATAAATGCACGATAACCAGCTGACGCAAAACTCCTTCAGAGTTAAGCCAAACGCTCAACACTGTGTATCCTGCGACATCTCTGGACCAGAGGATCGGTACTACTTGCGCCTTCTCTACCGGACCGAGTACCCTGAGGCTGAGAACATCCTCCTCGACCTCCGGATCCACACAGAGGGTCGTCTTGCTGGGTGAGGTAGCACACAGATTGTGTTTGATGCTGTTTCTCTAAGAATGACTCAGTTAGCTGCAAAACCATCTTTTCACCCAGAACGAGTTCCTCTCGTTCCTCTCAAGCTGTGGTTGGTGTGCGATGTGGCCTCTTATGCCTGGAGGATTATTCCCTACCTGGGCAAGATGGCGCGAGACGCCCCGGCAGAAAGGGAGCAAGGGAGGCGGGTGGTGCTGGAGCTCACTGAGGGACTGAGCGGCCACACTGTCACCACAGACAATTTTTTCACATCACTAGCCCTTGGAGAAGAGCTGCTCCAAAATAAAAAGTGTCTTGTGGGAACAATTAGGCGCAACAAGCCAGAGCTGCCCCCACAGCTGCTGCAGATGAGAAGCAGAGCGGTTCTGTCCTCCCTCTTCGCCTTCACCTCCACCACCATCGTGGTGAGCTACATACCGAAGCACAGGCTTGCATGCACGCTTTTGCAGAAAATGTGGACAGGCAGTGCGAGGAGCACTCATCAGTTGTGTGCTTAACCTGCAGCTGTTAGCTCACTCCCCTCTGTTTCTCTCTCTCTCTCTCTCTCTCTCTCTCTCTCTCTCTCTCTCTCTCTCTCACACACACACACACTCACACACACTCACACACACACTCACACACACACACACACACACACACACACACACATCTTTGTTCATGTGCTTTAATAAAGTGTTCAACTGGCCATCTTTGTAAGTGCAATTTTTGTGCTCTAATGACTTTAACGTGAGTATTTTAGAAAATATGACAACACACAAAAACTACAAAGTGAGCAAAACATATTTTTATGCCTATTTGTGACACTCCAAGGCTGTGACAACTTACCCACAAAAAAGGTCATCTGGACATAACACACAAAAAATGATTTGATTATTTCATTTTTTGTACAGTTTTCAAACTTCTGGTTTTGATAATAAACATGGCAATGAAGGGGTTAAATCTGAGAAACACACACACATTTTATTATATTTTGTTAGGGCTGAAGCCAAGGAAGAAATTCATGTAAAAAAATTGGGACTTATGAAATATTATATAATATGTCTATAGGAAGCTTTGTAAGTGCATTTTTTGTGCTCAAATTACTTTAAAGAAGTGGTAACTCCCCCCTCAGAGTCTTACTCCACCCACGTGTCAATTTCAAAAACTGCAACATTAGTAGGCGTTGCCTGGAGGACCGAGAGGGCGGAGCCGCGGCAGTGATGAAGACGATGTGGCTAACTAGACGATGCTAGCTCCCTTCACTCTGAGCAGTTATTAGAAGTGGAGGACGTTTGTCCCCCTCCTTACACAGACACTCGAGAAGAAAGGGACCAAGTCTATTTGGAGAAGACAAGCGGACCTGAGCCTTATTGTTTTGAGCTTGTTAGTTGCCTGAAACTAGCGGAACCGACCCAACAGAACCACCTCTGAATGGTAAATAGCCGTTAGCCATAGCATTGGATTAGCTGCAGGGTTTGGCTCCACGGCCCTAGAGAGCTAGTATTCAGCATGTTGAGGTTTATCTGCTTCAACACACCTGGTTTTAATCAGCAACAAATAGCAGAGCTGCTTAACAGCTAATCTAACCTGTTAAAGCAGGAAAACCACTGAAATGTGCTGGATAGCAGCTCTCCAGGAGCTCTGGGCTCAAGTTACAGTCTGCTGCATAGAAAGTTATGAAAATACCCCATGAGAAAATTATTCTGTAATGTGTTCAGCCCACTAAAACTGCCCTGATTTCATTATTTATTTACGGATACCAGCTGCTCTCTTGGTCGTAGGTGATCCTCTGGTGTCTGCAGCTGGTCTCCTGCTGGTGTCGTCAGGATCAGGAGCTTCCAGAAGAATGTGCCTTTCAATGACTCTTTCCCCCTTATTTGTTATATTAATTAAATAAATCTCAATTTATATATTTCCTGTTTTTGTTCATGTCCATAAATACTTAAACATGCTTGAAATTAAAACAAGCTTTTATCAGTGAGGTGCTAGTTTAATTCATCACAATAGAGCTAGTTAAACATGCAACAATGTGATAATTCAATTAATGTAATTTATAAATATCCATTAAAATATCAAAACTGGAATCAAAATGAGATATTTGGCAGCACAAAAAACTTGTCAAACACAATATTTATTATAATAATTGTAGGCAGACAGGAGACAGAGCTGATGGAGGTTCTCAGTCATCGAAGGATGGCTGAAGGCTTTCCAGGAACAGGAGATGTGGTGTTGCTCACCTTATGTGCTCTTATAAGTATTAACGTGTGCCTGCCTCATGGTGTAGAGTCCATATTTTGCTGAGTGTCCTGCAATAATGCAGGTTATTAGTTAATTTACGTTTGAGATCAAAAACAAAAATTTAATGTAAAAGTTATTTACCAGGTGAATCAGCTCACACGTCACTACCAAGTGTCACAGGGCC